CCCTTTTGATGGAAGAAAAAAAAATGTCGACACTAAATGACTATCAATAAGTACAAGCTATAGAATTGTTTTAAGCGTTGTTCTGCGGGTTCTGGAAACTCCGCTTCTTTCCAGTTAAGCCGCGTTTTTCACAAGTGCGTAGTAACGTATTTCCTCAACAAATACACTGAAAATCATTCACAAAACTAAATGCTGTCCTTTCATTCATTTAATAATTGTATTAGAAACCTTTAAATGGATTTAAACGCTTAACTCGAAAGCTGTCTTTTCACTCCAAAAAGTTCCCAGGAAGTAAAAATGTTTTCAGAGACATGTATGGTTTTGGAAACAATGTTTGCCCAGACTTGGTCTCCTATTAAAATAGAATAATTACGGCCAAGAGCAGCGAAGCGTCGCACGATTCTTGACACTGATGTTTCTCCAGAGTTCATTCGGCCCAGTCTTTCGCGCGATCTATATAATGTCGCGATTCAAGCGCTCATTCCAAATAGCCCAAAATGTGTTCAGCTGCTTTCCCGATCTATAGTATTGAGATAATCACTCCAGTTGATTAAGGTATTTACACTACCATGATGGTATGTAAACATATACCAACTGATGGTATGTAAACCTATACCAACTGATGGTATGTAAACATATACCAACTGATGGTATGTAAACCTATACCAACTGATGGTATGTAAACCTATACCAACTGATGGTATGTAAACCTATACCAACTGATGGTATGTAAACCTATACCAACTGATACTCAAGTTTTTAACTGTCGCATGGAACTCATGGAACAAATTTCCTGTCACGACAAAACTTTCCCCAGTCTCATTTTTCCTTTGCTGCCGGGCCACATGTAAATATATGTTTGCATTTTCAATATGGCTTCTTATGTTATTATAATATCACGATATTTGTAATACGTCCGACACCAAGTGAGAAGTGTCAGGTACTACAGAATTGGTGCCTGGCAAAGTGTCAGGCACCCATGAAAAAAATATTTTCAGGCTTGTAAATAAGACGGTTAAAATTGAACAAACATCTTATTCATCGTAAACGTTACGCTACCAAAAAAACAATGCATGCACCTATCGGGATAATTTAAAAATATTTTAAATATTGTGTATATCTTACTAATAGAGTACCTTTGTACAATTGGAATTGTAAAAGAACCAGCAGTCGCTTTGAGAGGTCATTTTCCACGATCAAATCACCTGGATACTTCTTAATGTATACAAACACAGGAGAAAAAATCATTGTATGTTAAAAAACGAAGGAAAATTTTTTGAGAATTACAATGCAATGGCAATATAAGCTAAAAATCATGGTAGTTTCTCATGACAAAGATCAGTAAAATTAAAGAAATGATTTAAATTCGTAATTCTGTTGTAACGTATGCAACCAACCACGCATATTGGAAATGCACAAGTCATGACAGAATATGTTTTTAAAACATGAAACAATAATAATAAATTCTGCGCATGTCTTGACAAGAAACTAGCTGTTGAAGCTTGAAACAAGACAATTACCGTAATCTTCGAAACATTTTTGAGATCTTTATTCTGTCTTTTACAAATAAACTACGTCAAGCGTTCCTCTTTTGAGTTCCTAACTAATTTCATTGCAATTTTAATTTTAGTTGAAAAACTCCCATGCAAATCCCTCGAGGGAATTCGCAATATATGAGCCGGCATGAATCGTGTCACGAAAATATTTTCCTGACCATAAAATATCGTTTGAATGAACTTTATACTGTTACTGAATCGAACCAAGCTAATTCAACTTTGAAATGTCATTTTGAATGTTTACGAAAGCCGTGTTAAGAGCTTTATTAAACGGGTCATCCCGGTTAACCGGGCCAGCCCGCAGCTCCACCTGAACATCCTCTAAAAGCCAACTAAATTTTCCTCAGTTCCTGTTACAACTTTTAACTTCCTGTTACAAGATCCTAACTTCCTGTTCTGTTCTGTTCTGTTCTGTTCTGTTCTGTTGTTCTGTGCGTTGCAATTGAATGACATCGCTCAGAACAGGAAGTAAGGAAATTAAAACAGGAAGTTAGGAAAATTTAAAAAGAAGTTTCTCTGAATTGGAATATTGCAACAGCCGATAAGAACATTGGAAGTTTTTCAAATTCCCAAAGGTAATGAAGAAAATTGCAATCAACTTAGGAACTCAAGTGGAAAACTTGACGCAGATTACCTGTAACTAACTTCTACTGTCGGATTTAATTTTTGAGTCTTGACTGTTACTGTACGTTAAACTGACTTCCAAATTAATGCAGTAAATTACATACAGTAAATTACATACAGTAATACCACCTTAGCCCAAATCACTTATAAACAGTTTGTTTAAACTTGGCAACTTCAGGTTGGATGATTTCTTATATTCGCTGAATGTGAACCTCTTTTAAAAATATACAATCTTTACATACCTGTTACCTCTATATATCAATCCCTGATCTGCCAAAATACAAATTCACACAAAGATTAGTGTTAAGTTTCTTTCTCTTTTAACATATACTTGCAAGCTTTAACTTCCATATGCAACTGCAAATGTCTCATAAATTAAACGAACATGATATTCTTTAAATCCAGGTAAAATATTCCACTAATATGAATAATCCAATGGTATAACTTCCGTGTTCTAGATAGGTGTCTTTTCAATATTTCCAGTAAGTGCTCTGTCTTGATAATACTGTCCTAATTTGAAGAATCTTCTGGTATTATGCCAGGAGAAAGTCAATAAGTAAGGTTGCCAAACTAAGTGAGATAACAGATAACCAATAATTGAAACTGCCACAAACTGATCAACCAAACACAATTTCCACCTCTTTCAACTAGTAATACTATAAACTATACTTGTTCTTCTCCATTATGAATTATTAGAAATTAAGAACATCATTTTTACTTTCGGACTAATTTAAAAATTTGGCAAAATAAAATTAAGGTTTAAAAATAAACAGAAAATAATTAAAGTAAACAAAAACCTTGAAATTTTATGCCATAACATACAAGCTGCACCTGACTGATAAAGTGATAACATTGATAGCAGCAAAATATACATTTGGAAACATGCTCCTGAAAATAAGACTGATTTTCATCAGCATACTATTTTTACTTTGATTGACTGACTGATCATGTGGGTAGTGATTAACTAATCAAAAATTCTGTTTTGATTATCAAAATCAGTTGAATAATTTTGTTCATTTTATGACTATAAACACTGGAAAATGCTTTGTAAAAATAACACAATTCCCTATACTTGAAAGGCTTACTTGAGTGGTAATCAGCAATCACATGCCACAGGCGTATCTTGTTTTGTCAGGGTTCATTTGAATGTAATAGTCCAATGATAATGGAATTATCTGACTAACTTTCATGATCAGTCAATCACTCAAGACCATGTTAAAAATCTTAACTTTAATATTGTGAATATATTTAAAGTTATTAATCACGTAATGTCCAGCAATCAATTGTCACATCAGTAATCATCTATTCTATTCAATAAGATATTTCAAAAGAGGACCTACACTGCTGCTATCAATAACTTACAAGCAAAAAATAAATGTCTACACATACTACTGTATAAATAAATAAATAAATGCTATTAATGAGCTCATTCCCACCATGCATTATGTTGTATTATGCCAATCAACCATTGTTGTAATTTTCAAAGAGGCATTCCATACAGTACTTGATATTATTGATAGAAAGTTTAACTAATTCATTTTATGTGGTTAATCTACTGCTAAAAGTTAAGAAATTGTTAATTAATTAATAATATTTCTGCACCAAGACAGTTAACAAATACCACAACATCAAAGCACAAGGTTTGTTAATATTATATGTTTCAGGCTGCTGAGGCAGTTTTGAACTGTTGGATAACCGAAAGAAACAAAACTGATTAAAACTGACGTAACTGATCTATCAAAACCATACTTTGTTCACATATTGCAATTGCAAATGGCAAAGCAGTGAACATTTAATGTTATATACATACACATATTGCAAACAATCAATAATGTTAAATTCTTATCATGCGAAAACCAGTAATTGTTTAGAAAGTAAAATAATGAGCTTTATGCAATCTGAAACTCAATTTAAGCTCATCCAGGAATTTTGTAAAAATCAATCTTGTGAAAAACAGACCTTTTTAGCTACCTGCTAAACCACCTCAGCCTACTGATTACACATCTGCCATTATCTCTGGTTTACAATACAATATGACTATACTCAAATGTCACTGCCCTATAAAGGTGGCAAAGGCAAAATAAAATGCCAATATGTCTCTTTTTGCACATCAAATTATAAAATTATTGTACGGTATCTTAATTATTGTATGTTATAATATTCTTGTATGTTATGGCATCTCAATTATAGTAATGTAGAATACACTCTTTGAGAAAGTGCTTAGTCATGGCTATAGAGCATCATTTTCATTCACGAGCGAGATATTGGGTTTAGAGCCCCTTACCATCTATCTTGTTTCACTTATATCAGTGACAATGAAAGTCCTTTTATAATTATGCCAACTATAATGAGATAGAGGGCTTGAAAGCTTGATTCTCAATCATGGAAATGAGGCTCTATAACATGTACTTCTGGCTGGCCTGTTGGGTGTGCCGATATAGAATTAATTTATCATGCTCCAGTTTTGTGCACATAGAGAATACTCAAACAAAATCTTGTCATTGGAAACCCGGGAGAAACATGGCATAGTTGGGGGATGATGGTAATTTAGGCTATTAATTGCACACACCCAAATGGGTGGGGGACTACAGTAGGTACTTTTCACCAACCTCAAATAATGTTCATAAAACATTAATTAAGACACTAAATCATACGCTGTGACATGTTTATAATTACTTCAAACACTCATTAATAATTCATAAGCTTATTGACAAATCATGTCAACCATACTATGTCACATGCAGTGGCTTTAAACCTGATAAAACAGTCCTAATTAGTATTCTTTATATAAGGAATACTAATAAGGCAATATCTATTGTAGTCGTGTCCTCATTAGTATATTTTATATAAAGAATACTAATAAGGCAGTATATCTATTGAATTTGTAGTTGTGTTTGAAGCTGTTTAATAAACTCGCAGGTCGTGTTTTATTAGGTCTAAAGCCACTCACGCTGCGCGCTTGTGTCTTTAAACCTAATAAAACACTCCTGCTCATTTATTAAACAATACTTAAAAAACTCATTAATTTTAATAATGGAAATAAAGCACTTCTACACATGCTTTAAATAGTACATAAGTAGTGAGACTCTAATGATCAAACTTAGACAGCCTAGCTAATACAACTTCAGCTAAATTACACTATATGACCAATTAAATGCTGTTCAATGCAATACTTGCAGTCAGACAGAAAGCCAACATGGTGCTTGTTTGGCAAAATTATGAACATAATTTGCCTATTAATTTAATTATACTGAAATCTCAGCACTTGTACAATAAACAATTATATAAATAAGTTTTCTCAATTGCACAAGAAGCCATTATTCCTCATATTGCACTTTATATGTATCAGCTAATTTTTACCATTATGTCATAACTTAAAATATTACACTTTTGGCAGGCACTTTTAAAGTTTTAGTATATGACTTGTTGTGGATGTGACTTTCATACAGCTTTTGCTTGTTTTGCTTGCACCTACAGTATGGGTGGGGATTTTTTTGCAATGGGTCATTCCAGAAAACATCCATACCACCCCCACGGAAGAAATTGGAAGTTAACCCCCCTACCCCATTCGGATGTCCTAATACATTTACTATTATCAAAAACAATTTTGTCTCCCCTCCCCCACCGGATGGCAGAAATTTCGTCCGTGGGGGGAGTGTGGATCTTTTCTGGAACGACCCAATAGTTTCCAAAAGTCTAATTCCCCGTGTGTCCCCCCAATGTTAGGAAGGTGGGGGTTTCCAATGACAAGTGCATTAGAATGTCATTATTTGACCTCCATCTGCCTAGTTTACAGTGTTAAAACCTCTGGGGATTGCATGAAACCCACCTATATAACATAAAAGCAGGGGATTAGTGTTATACTCTGTTTTTACAAGTGCAAGTCTGCATTCTGGCTCCTGGGTTTAGCTTGTTGAACCAGAACAAACATGAAAATTTGAAAGAACAGCAAGACATTTTAGTATTTATAAAGACTTTGTCAAGAAAAAAGGAATATTAAAATCTAAAAGAAGGCAGTATCGAAATTGCCAAAATAAAGACGAAATATTATCACATCAAACCTATGCAACGCCACAAAACAACAGACATAAATAGAAGCAACCAGAGACAAAACAACGCTTCCAGACCTTTTGGTTTACAGAACACATCCGATGATCCGAACGGTGATACCAGGCGATCGACGCGAAATTCAGTTTGTAGATCTTCCTTGAATCCTTCTTCCTTATCAATGAATCCCCACAATTTATTTTGGTACAAACATCATGTCAGAGCATCATGTTTTGCTCAGTGGTTCTATTTCTCTGTTTTATTTCGTGTGTTGACTCCACTGGACTCCATCATATTCCATCATGGCGCCTTAAAAAGTTTAAGTAACTGCGCATGCGTGTCACTTTCTGTGTGAGGCCACAGAGTAGAGACATACAGAGACGTAACTGACCATAGAGATTAGGGAGGATACTATGTTTCAGGCGACCGGGCAAAAAATGATCAACTGCGCGTGCTCAGCAAGTTTAAAGTGAGTCGTCATCAGGTCGTCATCCAATCAGATGCATGCATCTAGTAACTTGCCGAGCATGCGCACAAAAAAAGTGGGTACACTAATTACGTCTCTGTATGTCTCTACTCTGTGGTGAGGCTCTGGTGAGGCTGTCAGCGCTGCGACACTTTTGCATCGTTTTATAACCAAGACAAATTTGAAATCGTTTGCGAGGATGTCTTCGGGTGATAATGCATCACAGTCTGTATTCGGAGTGGTGGCAGGCATTAGGCACGACTTCAGTGTTAGGTTCGACTTGAGAGGTTACTTCGCTATCGGTGTACGGGCGGGGAAGTTGACAAAACGTGGACCCAGGACCCCCTCTTTCGGGACCGAATCTGGAACTTTAAAAACATATAGGCTATAGACCAGACCGTAGGACACAACTATTTGGATTGGAATATCACGATGATCGATTAAATTCGTTTTCGTCTTTTCGACGTTCTCAATCCTCAATGTCCCAATCATTTCAGTCAGTGGCAATCGCATCATGACATAGGACCACATAGGTTTAGGACGCAATTTTGAATTTGTTTTCACTATTGTGTTTCATAATGGCGTTGTTAACCTTGAACGGGTCTACTCTATAGTGTAACTTTTGCAAAATGTGGTCAATTTCTAGACTAAATAGCACTAGCGTAGCCTGGAAAAAGGCCTAACATTGCATTGTACATTAATGCTAGGGCGTTGCTGGGCAATGTAGTTATTCCAATCAGAAATACCTTACTGCACTGGTTTTCTTGTTTTATGTTTTTTTGAATAGGGGCAAGTACTTTCAGTAAAGTGCATGTTGTTTTTGTGACCTTGTAAAATACTGTGTAATGACATTGCCAATGTAGTGTCGGGTTGCTCTAAATCGGCAATTTACCCCGCTGCATTTACAGCAAAAATGTCGGCACGTTTTGTCAACTCCCGTACGGAGCTGGGCGTACCAAACGTAACAGCGTCTTTGACTATTAAGCCTTATCCGGAATTCAACTTCCGCTTGGCATGGTTCTCGTGCTCATAAATCATAATGGAAAAAAGCTCACGACCAATAAAGAAAATTTATGGCTACGCCACTGCATTCAATTTTTCAGACCTAAATAAAAAAAAAACACGATATTGTTATTATTCGTTATACTATTCTGTTCATTTGTCAGTATTCCAGTCCTTTGTCTCCAGTCTCCACATACTTGCTGAACTATACGATATGTCGACATTGATCATGAGTTTCTAACATAATTAGATTCAGGTAAGGCTAAACATAACAAACATCTGGAGTTCATCTGTTAGTGATCTCTGATAGTGTGTGTTGGCCATTCCCAGTATTTGATCGCTTGGAGTCCACCAGTCTCGTTGGTAGATCATTTTAGCAGCACGAACGTTAGTCCATAGGTTAGGAATGGTATTATCATAGGCGTACGAGAGGGGGGCGCTGCAGCCCCAACCCCCCAACATTTTTTTAGTCGGGCAGTTTGTACGTAAAAGTCGGGCATATCGTACGTAAAAATTGGACAATGATTAAGGGGAAAAGCGGCGCGCATTACGTTTTCAAAATGTGTTAATGTGTTTCGAAAATTTTGCCCTCCCCCCCGTTGACATGAATTTTGGGAAATATATAAGGAAGGAAAATATTTTTCGAGCGGCCACTTTCACGAAGTTCGGTGCTATGGGAGTTATAACCTTAAAATAGAAATCCTTCCTGGCTTTGATCGACAGGAGGTATGATTCTTTTGAGTCAACTTTTCACTAAATGATTTAATTACTTCAGAAACATGAAAATTCAACTTAGTTCATAATCAACTTCCAATCCCATCACCAACTTTGATGTCCTGGGGTGGACCAACTCAGCTTTTATCCGGCTGAGGGGGCAGTCCATTTAGACAACACCATTCGTTTAACAAACATTTTGGCAGGCCCTCACTCTTCAGTCATGCACTGCAAGTGTTTCGAGGGAACGATCACTTCCCCCTATTGAATACCACGGCCAAAGACCAAAGTAGGTAACTAAAAACGTTGTTCACGATGAATATATAGCGCCTATAGGTGTTTGGAAATCCAAGCACCTGGGTTCTCTCCTCTGCAGAGGTTTCCACTGATCATATGCGAGGCACAGTGTGTTAATTTTGAAATGCATGTAGTAGCTATACCAAACTGAAATAAAGATTCGGTTCGAAACCGATTTGCACAGCACAAAATAGGTGTTACTCGACACCTCAAATGAACATTGTTACCGTACCAGAATTTAAGATATAAATTTGAAATATATTTCTGACAAAATATGTAAAATATTACAACGTAATGATGGCATATATACTTATACATCTTAACAGAATCAAATCAACCAAACAAAATTTGAAATACACACAAAGCTAGGACATCCACGTTTCTTAATGTTCTTTTATATACTTTACTTTCTTAAATGTTTCTCAAAAATCCGTAAACTGAGAAAATTCGACAATATATTACAGTTCGTCGCCATTTTTATAACTGTACATTTACAACTCAAATAGAAACCTTTTTGACAATCCACGTATATACTCCATTGGTAACCATCAACGACAAGTACTACTACTAGTGTTATCAGGGAGTACCTTCACTTGAAATCCGTGACAATATAACAAATGTTCGTCTAATAGAGATTGTGAGTGAAAATAACAACCACACTGAGAACAAACACACGTTATGCCTACATCACTTACAAACGTGTCCATTTTGGAGCTGTCTGGTTTTCCTTTAGTATGCATGCACTGTTTATACACGTTGGAATTATCATATTCTTTTTTACATATGTTCGTTTCGATACAATGATGCTTTTCCAGCAAATTTACGGAGTTAAAACATGAACTACATTGTGAACATACAAAGGTAGTATCAGAACATTCCTGAGATGATTCCAGTTCATTGTCGTTACTTTGGTTGTGGTTTTCATCATACAGCACTCTAGAATTCCAGAAAATCTCATCATATCCGTGGTAATGTTTTCCCAGATTACCTTGTGAATGGGAATCAGAATGATGGCTTGTGGTCTGAGTGACAGTGCCTTGGAATCCTGCGAAGTTGGATCCACTTTGTTTACGTATTGCCAATTCAAATTTGGCATTATTTTTTTTAATAAGCTCAGAGACCTTTTGTTCCAAAGGAGAGAAGGAATTTAGTGTTTTACCACAAACATGATTTTGTACTTGTAACGGTGATGAAAAACCTGAATTACATTGAAAACACACACAGGTTTTATCTGTATATTCTGTATTTCCAACTTTAGAGCCACATGGTCGAGCATGCTCAGGCACATATGATTTCAAAGACGATGACTGCTCATCATCATCAGCTTTCTCTGGTTTCACATACTCCTCTCGTATTTGTCTTTCCATCATACTCGGTGTGCCAGTATCACCATCACTTTTCATGTTCTGGCATGCAGTCTCTTGAAATTCTGTGGAAGTTATAACACGAACCTTGTCACTTGCTTTTGAAGAACGACCAAACTTCACGAAAGTGGTATCACACACAAGCTCTTCCTCCGTATGTGACCGCTTATGACATGCTAAAGTATATGAATCAGGAAAATCCTTTCTACATATATGACATAGAAATGAACTCTCCTGAGAGTGCGTTTGCTTGTGGTGCAGCAAGTGGCTTGATACGGTAAAAGATTCACCACAAATATCGCATTTATATGGTTGTACACCATGGTTTCTCCTTTTATGAGACAGCACATGACTTAACTGGCAAAACCGTTTCTCACATAAATCACACTGATAAGGTTTATCTCCATTATGTATTCTCTTGTGACACACCAGAGCACTCGACGTCGTGAACTGCTTTTGGCAAACGTCACATTTATAAGGTTTTTCTCCAGTGTGTGTCCTTTTATGTGTGACTAAATGACTCGATGTCACGAACGATTTCCCACATGTATCACATTGGTAAGGTTTCTGCCCGGTATGTGTTCGTTCGTGATCTACCAAACTGCTGGATTTGGAAAACGACTTGTTACATGTTTCACACGTGTACGGTTTTTCTCCAGTGTGCGTTCTCTTATGACACAACAAGTCACACGATCTTACAAACCTTTTGCCACAAACATCACACAAATACGGTCGTTCTCCAGTATGTATTCTTTTATGAAAAACAAAATTGCTTGACTGGGTGAACGACTTGTTGCAAATATCACAGTGATAGGGTTTTTCTCCAGTGTGTGTCCTTCTATGACGTATTAAAGCTGACAAATCAACGTAGGCGTTCTGACAGATGTCGCATATATATGGTTTTATACCAGTATGTACTCTTTTATGGCGCTGAAGGTGGCCTGCAAGTAATAAACAACCAAAATATATTTAGTATAATAGTATGTAATTTCACCATCAATACGAATATGATACAAACAATAGGATATAAACAAGAGGAGGGTCAATACTCAATAGGTCCTTTGTTTGAGATTTGCGTTCGCCTTATTATTGTTTTTAAAATTCTAATTTTATAATGGATTCAATGAAAACCCCGGAGAATCACAATGAACGTGGAGCTACAGGCTACTCCGAGATCAAGCAAGATGGAAAATTGCTTGATCGCTTGTAGGTATTCCGTCTACAAAAACCCCTTCTATTATTAGTAGACAAAAAAACAATCTATTATTAGTTCTACCGAACGAAATGCCCATCCCGATATTCACACACACACCTTCTACTCTCATTATATATACATGAATTTGAGGTTAATACTCAGCAACTGGACTCAGTAGCAGAGTTGGTTATAGCGCTGTACCGGAATCGTAGTGATGAGAAGACCACATTACAGAATATAATACTGTAAAAAAATGCACGAATACATGGAACTAAATATATGAAACTCGTTGGGGTGAGGTAGGAGTGATGGATGCGGAAAAGAGCCACATTTTTGTTTTGTACAGTTGTGAGGTTATCATTACCACCGGAAGTGGGACAGAGGGGTTGAATTTTCATTCTAAAACATCGTAATTGCCACTGTAAGTGCAACAGGTTGTTCAGAATCACGGTGGATGACAGGACGACGATGCTCACTAAACCAGAACCTTGTCCTCAAATATCTTATATATCTCAAATATACCCAGTTTCCCCAAAGTAAAACATGCCACAATTACTAAATGAGATACAGTAAACAAGAAGGGAGGATTTAGGTGCCAAAACAGTTGTTGTCATGATGCTGAATAACAGTGTACAAGGATTGCCAGTCCACTGTGGAAATGAATTTGTGAGTGCCATCTGCTTGGCATCCTTGACATGAGCTAGTAATGAATTAACCACGGGTTGCATAACATGATCAAGGTACTTAGAGACGAACTTGGTGGGGCAACTACAAGAAGAGACAATAGGTCTACCTGGGTAATTGTCAGATTTGTCGATTTTGCAGGACACGAAATAGATGACAGACATGCAAGGTGTAGCAGTGATGAGATTCTTGGCAGGTGTAGGAAGATAAAGCTTAGGATTGTGTTGAAGATATATAACTCTACTGAAAAAAAGTAGTGTCAGTAAATTGTCGGTGAGCTTCGTTGCGATACAAGTTAGCTTTCCAGACAACCAAGGCACCACCCTAACATCCTTGTCAGGTTTGATAACAATAGCAGCCTTTTCACATATATATTCCATATCATGTCAACATAGTTGAATGAATAGTTCTAGCTAGGGACACATATTATCTTCTGGAGGAGACTAGGGAGGTTTTTTATTAGCAATAGCATTTAGGATTAATTATTAATAGTCTCAAAAACGTTCTTTCACGAGATGGAAGACCGGTTGTGAAAGTGTGCTCAAAGTGTAATCATCTCAAAAAAGATTTTGTATCTGCTTTATCTGGAAAAACGTAGCGAGAAAAGATTTCTTCGACTAGGATAGGGTTAAATCATATGGCATGGTCACCACAGCTTAACTATGTTGTTGGCCAAGTTGATCTGGTTCACCGTTGGGTGTCAAAATGGGAGTTGTCTTTGTTCTCTAGTAGCGGAAGTCATTAAATGAACTATAACTCCCACAAATGTTTATAACCACACTCACCCCACAATTCTAATTTTAAGCCACCCATTTTTCCCCCGCAGGGTTTTGGCCCCAGAGGGCCAAAACCCGAGGAGGCATACTGTATATTGAAGTCCCCGCATGTAATATGATATCAATACGGTATATACCAGAGGCAGAGAAATTTAAGTTTTTTGGGGGCACACTGGGTAATATCGCAAAAACATTGGGTGGTATTGAAGTCCCCGCACGTAATATGATATAAATTGTTTAAGGTCAAGCACAAATTGTTAAAGCTATCAAGATTAGAAGCAATTAGATTATATATTACAGTAAAAGGCCACAAGTTTAAATGGTGAGGGTTCAAATTATATTATAAAAGGCACGTGAATTATTGGCGTAGTGCTGTAGCTGCGCAATTTTAAAAGGTGAGGGTTCAAAGGTTGCGTTGCTTTCTGGGGTCAACACCTTGTCAAACGGCATTTTATTTCTGTGGTCTGTTTCTAATAGACTTGTGAGATACGTTGTTACTATCATCTGTTGTTGGTAAAGGAGTCAATCCGTCAAATAACGAAAAGCTTTAAACTTAAAGGTTAAACAGTAACACAAGATAAAAACTCCGTCTATCAAGATTCTATCAAATCAACTGTACGATTTTTCAGACACATTATTCATTAATCAAAACAGGAACCAAAAGACTTGGTTCACACATCAGTCAGTCAAAAACAAATACAAATATAAAAAATCGAGCAAAGCTTAACACACAAGGTCACATTATATAAAACGTTTGTAACAAGGGACTCATAGTCATTGTTCCATTATATTGAAAAGCGCCATTCCTTCTGCCGGATAGACACAAGGATCAAGTTACACGTGTCGTCCAATTTTATCAATCTTCTAAGCGTTTTGAAAGAAAGCCAGAACAGGGTTTATTTTAAGAAAAATTTAGAACTGCACATATTAAGGATGTTACGAAGCATCATGTATTTAACGTTGTAAATTTATAGTTAATCTTGTAAATTGTGATAGACTCTTAATTTGTGTTTAGGTGGCAGAATAAAGGTGTGGTTGGGTGGGGCCAGACAAACTCGATTCTGGGTGACCGAGCTACAGGTAGAAGGTGTCCCCCAAATTCTGAATTTAGAGGCTTGTAGGTTCTGGCAAAGATTTGTTTCACCCAACCACCCACAAAAACTGTTTCAAAACATGTAACTGGACATCATGAATACCTAATATATTATAACCTTAGGCACAAAGAATATTAGGTTCTCCCACTCTAATCTCTTTTGGATAGCTTCGATCGCACCAATTTTACCTCCTGTTCCATTACCCCCAGCACGTAATGTGATTTGTGAGGAAAACATGAGGATCTGGTGGTCCTCTCCCGGAAAACATTTAGATTGTTGATGCTCAATGACAGCATTTCTGGCATCTGGAGCATCCACAAGGAAAACGAGTACATGAGAAGACTGTTTCGAGGGTATATTTTTGTTAATTTGGTGACTGCACATTTGAGTTTTAAGAACTGCACAAATGGATTTAGAACTGCACATTTTGTGTAGAACTGCACGTTAAAATAAACCCTGAGCCAGAAGGTAATAATATTAGGGATGAGCCGATCACTGAAATTGCCGATTAGCCGATTCGATTAATCGGTGGCCGATAATACCAAATAATCGGCCGATTAATCGGCCAAAGCCGATTATTGCCATTAACACATTTACCAGTAGGCGTTAGTTGTTCTGATGAACCTCAGATGCTTTTAAGCATTAAAATGAAACTTGAGAAGCTAATGTAGCAAAGCACTTCTTCCTTCCTTCTAAAGCTGGATACAAATTGAAAAGTTTTCATGACATTCTCTTTTGTCTCATGTAATGGTCTTTCGTGCGCACACAATGTTTTCCGGTCATGGGAGTTACATGTATAAGTGTTAATTTTCGTACTTATAATAATTGCATTTGCGATGAAGAGGTGAGATAAAGCAAAATCTTATTTGTACGTATTTGTGTAGCAGCTGCATGCCGCTCAATAACGTGAAAAATTGTCAAACATATGCAAAAAACGCAATGAACACACAGATTTTCATTTATTTCTAGTAGAAAATAGAAACTGATCAATAATCGGCAAATGGCCGATTATTCAGAAATAATCGGCCGATTACCGATTATTAAAAATTGGCCAATTATCGGCCGATTAATCGGCTTGGCAGATTAATCGGCTCATCCCTAAATAATATAACATTTTGTCGTATTAATATTTGTAAATTACCATGAGGCATGATCATATTTAATAACAGCTACAGTAGTTAGTTCACCATAATCAGCCGGGGGCAGTTTTAGTGTAAACTATTTCTAGTATAGCAATTGTTAGCAGGATTGGCTGTTTAATTTAAAATTAGAATTGCAAACTTGCAAAAATATGCAGGTGTGGCTACAGATATTTGTGGAGTGATTTTTGCTGCAATGCCACAGTTTGGTGAGATCTGTAATGATTAGAATTTTCTGACTTAAGATCTTTTCTAGGTCCAGTTTTGGCAGAAAAAATAAAATATTTAGTTCCAGTGCACACCTAATACTTGATCATTCTTGTGCTTTTGATATTTTCTAGATTTACTGTACCCTTTAAAACTAACTGTTTTACTCTGCTGACCCTACGTTTGTGGTTTTTGCACCCCCAAGATATTGTCGGCAACTACTCTACTTTGGTTAAGTAAAATGGCATATGATTTGAATACAATTACATTCCTGCAGTTTTTCATCAGATTTAAAAGGCACTGGTGCTAGTAGATCCTTTGGAATAATGTTAATAAGACAAAATGAGTGACAGGATGGCATGTGGAACAGTGGGATTTTTAAAACAATGAAATATTCTGATCATTAAATCAAGACTGAATGGCACGGTTAGATAGGCGGCAGGTACAAAACGCAGGTTGCAGGTTGGAATTTTGCAGGTTGGGAATTTTGCAGGTTGGAATTTGCAGGTTGGGGATTTTGCAGGTTGGAATTTTGCAGGTTGCCAGGAATTTTGCAGGTTGATGATGCAAACTTAAAATTACACCACTATAAAGTATTCTAGTATAATTTAATTGTGTACTTATTGCAGTCTGACTCCTTGTCGGCACTTTTGATATCAGCCCATCCTGCTACAATGTTCCTAGCTTTTGCTCTAAGGAGTGGCCATCACCCTTGTGAAAACATTCAAAATGACCAGATTGGCTTGGACCTTCAGGGGGACGGATGTTTCGATTGTTGCGAGGAGCCTACATGACGTGGTGGCAGTTCAGAAAATGCCTGAATGAGGTGTCTCTCCTCTGCACCCA